CGCGGCGGCAAGGAAACCTACCATACGCTTCTGGATAGCCATTTGCCCAAAGAGTCTGGGTAATGAATAGTAATTCGGCCTCAATGCATTCCGTACTGCATACACTGTCAAGCCCGAATTAACAACGTTTTGACAGGGCACCGTTTGTATTGAACTGGTGTAAAACTGCTGAAGTGTTCATGCAAACCGGTCCAGGTAGCTTTCTTGAAGACGGTGCGCTGTATCTTGCTATCTTCTCGCCTCGTCAGTAGTACATCTAGCAAAGGCAAACGGTTCTCGTCTTTAATTTCACAGGTGAAGCGGGCACTTTGGTGTGCAGCGTTCCTCACTCTGAGAAGAGACTGAGCCGCGTCTAAGGATGGTGCGATCACCAATGTGGCGTCCACTGACCGCTTGTAAAGGCACATTCGCCCGAGGTCTGGCTCACAGCGCGACTCGACGATCGCCATGATTATGTCCGCCATCAGAGGGCCAAGGGGATGCCCTATAGCCAAGCCATCAGCCTGTCGACATGTCTGTCCCTCGAACATGATATACACGTTTTCGTGCTGAGTAGCAAGCGATCTTTGAGATACTCTACAGGAATCAGTAAAGGCACTATCTCACTAGGGACGAAGTCACATAAGAAATGCACTGTTTCTTTTAATGGAACGTTGGTAGACATGGATTGTACATCTATGGAACACATCCCCTTGTCCGATGTTAACTTCGCGAACTTGTTTAATTAATTCGAAGTATCTTTCAAGGTGAGCTTAAGTATACTCTTACTTGCTGTCGTCAGTAGTACAGCTTGCCAAAGCGCTCGCTTGTGGTCCGGTGAATTATGCATGGAAAACATTGGTCTGAGTGAGATGTTATGATTTGAATCTCGGTAGACCATACATCTGGAGGATGTCGATCCCCAATGGCCTAAGAGCGTTTTTTGTCACCCGTGCTACCATCCCATGAAACAGTAATATTTTCAGATGTTTGCTTACCCTCTTCTCAATGTGTGTTATGTTGGTTGGGCTTTCGTCTACATGCAATTTTGGACTTGCTTTTCAGAATCTCTTCCTCTTGTTTTTATAATCCGATTTATTCATGATGACCACTCCAGTACCATTGTCCAGTTTTAACACTATTAAGCGTTAGATTCTCCAATCACGCAGCGTGTTAATCTGACTGCTATGCAGGCAGCAAGACAGATGAATCGATGCCATCATATAGTCTCTCATGATGTCAACTAGCTTAAATTTGAGCCAGTTAGATTTCTCTTGAGATGTTGGTTTAGCTTGGAGAGTTGATCAGTTAGGTTTTCAAACAGTGCAGCAACCTGAAACTCATGGACTTTCTGTGGAGCGATATTTTACTGTACACTAAATGATAGAGATTTGAGTTGCTTCCTATCCACTGAGGTAGAAGGAAGCCTATACACATGTTTTCGTAAATCGCCATGGAAAGGTATCTCATCCTCAGCATTTTCGAGACATGTACATTGATCCTTAGCCAACTTTCTTTTAGTTCTACTAATGAAAGTTTTACAAAATTTCATGTGCTCGATTCGACGGACTAAAGGCAAATGATCAACAATGGACCTACGAGGATCATGTATCGCCAACAATTATGATAGAATTCGGTTGGTCCCCTCAAAATATGAATTGGCACACCGTGTTTGGTTTGGGTGAGTTGGCCTCCACTTACTCCTCCGAAGCAATTTACAAAACTGTCGTGGGTACTTCGCTTTTCGCTTACACTCACAGAGAACAAGAATGAGCATTTTCTCCGTGGCTATCGTGCACTTTAAGGGTACCAATTCATCAAGAACTTAAGTCATTTCAGTCGGGAATCTTCGTCTTAGAAAGTTTCAGCATTGAGTTCCCTGTATTAACTTGAGCAGAACAATGCAAAGACGAATGTTGCAAGATGGTATCATTTCGTGCCCACTGTTCACTTGCAAATGGAAAACATATCAAATAAGGTGACAAAAAAGAAATCAAAGGTTGAGAGCGGAAGGTCACATGCAAATGAAGTAAAGGATGGCCAAACGGTTGAGGAGCTATCATTAACTCCAAGGGTGTTTGATCCTAACGAACAGGTACTTCTGGACGCACATTGTTGGACAATGCTTTTTTTGTAGCCACCGCCTAGGCGTATCGTTAACTAATGAATATCATTCTCCTGACCCATAGACAAGCTTCTCCTGGAGCCATTTTGGATTTATATCAAGTTGCTTTCTGCTGCTCAACATAGCCTTTTTACTTGACACATTGGGCCAATTGAGGTTGAGTACATTTCCCACTTTGATCGATGGCGTATGACATTCAGGCGAGGGATGTGGTTAGAAAGGGAAGGTGAGAGCGGATCAGCGGTCAGTGTGGTTACGCGGTTTGTGTGCTATGTCACGAAGACACACCGGCTGACTATGCTACGAAGGATAACCAGTGATTTCGGATTATCCGTCGAAACCGACTGGATTCTAGGTGAACAGAAACGTACCACAAAAATGACAACTGCGATTGCAAATAGTATTGGAGAAGCATGATTTCTAAGTAGCTCGATGAGCTCATGAGAGCTCTTTCGAACGAGTTTAAAAATTTCAAGTGATATTCGAACACTGAGTTGCTTGCACAAGTGAATTTCAGCAAAAGTTCTGCTAGACATGCAGAAGCTACTCAGGCTTTGGTGCAATGAGAATAAACAAAAAACTATCTTGAAAAGCTGGTAAATCCGATCCGAATGAAAGTAGGCTACATGGTGTTTTGCAAATGTTAAGATATGATCCAAAAAAGGGCAAAGGTGACGAGTTAGTATGACCGCAAGGTATAGAACGAAGGATATTACTGTCTCCTACCGGACTGACTTCACGGTTATCAACACGTGGTGACCACTACCTAACTACCGCTGCATCTTTCTTTGTGTACTGTGATATTCGTATGTGTGAGTGTACCTTTCCCACTCAAAAAAATCATTATCACTTACGAAATAATAGACTTGGAGTGTGATTGGTGAAGCAGTTAGTCTTGCCATGACTCAGTGGTAGGAACCAAACGGAAACGCCATTAGAGTTTTTGCTTTGGAGTATAAAGGTTCCAACAATTCAGGCTAGGCCAGGATCGTCTTCTATCTGCTCCCCGATAGCTAGCACAGAAAGCTCCAAAAGTGAAGAAAGTGAATACCCAATACGTCCAAAACCACAAAATAAGGACAGACGTTTGTTACATGAAAACGACAAATGAGAATTATTTTTCTGTGTAATTAATAGAGCAGGTACCATTAATAATTGATCTTATGCTACTTCACTGATTTGTACAACGGTTATAACGACTGCCCTGACATATTTACCTCTTAAACCGAGCAGCTAGCAAATGAAGGGTTCAATTGCAATCAGTCAAGCATGGCACAAATTAACTACCGCTTACGAAGACGGCTTAATCAGTTGTAATACACAAAATAGGTGAACATGCCAACTTATTGTCGCTGTTTTCCTCTTTACAGCTAGCTGTGGGGTATGAACATTTTAAACACATATTCGCAGAATATCTGTGCAGTGTTCTGCAGACTTGCTGAATGAAACAGCAAAGGTAGGTCGCGCAACAAAGGAAACGAGTGTGTCGTTCAACTATGGCTAAACCACGTGAAATACCGTCCGCGATTTTCTTCAGCAACCTACTAAGTTGTGAAATGCAAATTTAGTTGAATAAGTTGAAGTGCGGAACAAGCGTAGTCTGAATCAATTTCACATGTTTGCTTCAAGTAGTTGATTAAAACAATGCAAATCAACTGATGAAATTTTTCTGTACATGAGTAGGGACAGCAGTTCACAACACCGGGAGTAAGCGCACGATGACAGCAGATGCTATCCCTTTAGTGATGCAGGTTTTCCACAAGAGAAACCAAGTTTATCCGTTGGCATGTGAATGTAAGTGGATCCGAATGTTCATGGTGGGTGTGGATCAAGTTAAGAGGAAAACTTTAAGCACAATGAAAAAAGCATGAGTCAGAAAGTACTAATTTCCTTGTGTCCTCCCAACGTGTGAAGTATACATTAAATAGACGATATGAGCTCATCTTCTATTTTCTTAATTATACACGACCATGCTGGGTACCATTTGGTTCCGCATTTGCCTGTCAATATGGCGTCCATGGGGATAGCAACAGGATGCCGGCACTCACAGGAGGAAATTGGGTGCCTTGCGCGGCACTACCCGCAGCTCCATCCCTACAAACCATAGCCAGTTTAAACCCAAAGGGATGGGACTGGGATGCATGTGATGGGAGGCACGTTCCATCTGTGGAGCCGGCCCACACTCCTTCATTTTGCACAGAAGCGGCATTCATGTCGATCAAATTTGACAACCAGACTACACAAGGCGGTGATCGGGTCGTGGTCCGCTCCACACTGGACACTTGGAACTGCTCTTTGAGGATAGCTTGGCCACGAGGACGTTCACCCCGTCCCACCAGGGACGATTCTGTTTCCTAGAGCCAGCGTTCTTGGGCTAGCGGTCTTACATCGGGTAATCACCTTGTCAACGTTTATTTCAAGCGCAGCCACACCGGAGGTATCAAACAACCGAAACATAATTTGAGGGAAAACAAACAGGCAACAGTGACATGGAATATGCACCAGAGTAACAGAACTGTGCAAATCAACTAATGTGTACGAAGTGGAATCTAGTGTAAACTTGATGTTGGACAAATGTATTTTTCAGTCAAAGCATACCAACCGACCAACGCCGAGAATGGGGAAAAAGCACGCGATATAAACAATACATAGTCAGCGTATAAACAGAACTAGTCGAATAAAAGAAAGTGGGTTCAGTCAGATCTAGAACAGCGCAGTACAAGCCTACGCGTAAATCCCTACATCCCAACAGCGGAGAAAAAGCATGCTAAATGCAATATCAGCCTCAGCATGAGAAACCATCAACAACCTTGTCAACAAGATCATTTTTCAATTTTTTATAGCATGTTATGCAACACCCCTACCTGTGATTATCAAAAATACATGATTGGCTTACTGCATAGTCCGATTCGCAGATACAAACTGACTGGTTCGCCTCGCAGCGAGAACAAGATCCTAGGTGCGGACAAATCACCTTTCTCAACTGCCTCAAGACTTGCGTTCCGATTGCGGTAAATGAACACCAGCAAGTAGATCATCACGACGACTGAAGTGAGATACATGAAGGTGAAGAACCACTGAAAGGAAAGGGGAAAAATCGTGTTGACTGTGGTTGGCAAGCTGCGAATCGGTCAAAAACATAGACCCACCACACGAGCAAACACATGAAGGCTGTAGAATGCAATTGCTTAAGAATGATACAGAACCTGCACAATCAATCATGCACACTACTGAAGTTATAGCGCGAACGAAGTACGTATTCATGGCTTCCAAATGGTTTGCTGACTTAAAATCATCTTGAACTCGTGTAAATTTATTGGTAAATTTCCAAAAACTGTATGTTGCTTTAGCACCAAAGATGCGACTAAGTGCCGGATGTCAGTTGCCCTTTAACCCACAATGTTTTCACGCTGTAATTCCCGGTTGTGAAAAGATGTCAATAGGTCACAAAAGTGGATGGTTACGGAAGTGAAAACTAAAGATATGTTGATCGACAGCACCCTGAAACGAATAAAGTGTCTCGAAAATATGCTATCTAGTAGTTATTACAACTGTAAGTCGACAAAGCTTGTCTGCAAGTTATGCACACGTTTGTGTATGTTGGCGTTCTTCAGGAATTATTGAGATTGGTTCCTAGTATGATGTTGCGCTGTATCAAATACGTTCAGGATTGGGAAAGGCGAGACATGATACTGTAATTTTCAGTGCATCTCGCATATACTGTCGCCTTACTTATTGTCTTCATGGATTATCATCTGTGCCAACTGCTACTACTGACCAGTGCCATGCTAGGGAAAGCCTATTTTTCTAGCTTTCACTATAATCACAAACACATAAGCATCATCATTATACACATTAGCTAGTGGTGTAAAACACCTCAGCTACTGTGCTGCAGTACATAAAAGAAAAAAGAAATAAATGCAATAGCTGCGTGCCAACTGAGTTACCAGCAACGGACCTGTTCGAACATAGCTGGAAGAAAGTCAGCGTCCCGGCTAACTGGCATGAATCAATTATCGTGGCAATATACAAGAAGGGCAGTCGCACCGACTGTGCTAACCACAAGGCCACCAGCCTAACGTCAGTTTTGACGGGATTGTTGCTCGCACTTCTCGTTCGTCGCCTCACGACGGAACGTGAATCCCGGATTAGGGAAGAACAAGCAAGCTTTCTCCAAAGTCGGGGCTTATAGACCATAAAATCACTCTACGACAGATGCTAGAGCAGCAGCACATGTACCGCAGGACTACAGTGGTTGCTTTCCTCGATTACAAGAAAGCATTCGACTTAGTCGATCGATCCCTTCTGTTCGAGATACTTTCGAAGAAAGTTGTTCCCAGAAAATATGTGAAGATTTTACTTGCGCTATACTCGGATTTTACAGGTCGCGTCAGGGTTTACGGTGAACCATTAGATATCGTCCCGACAACGAGTGACATTCTTCAGGGTCGTCCAATTTTCCTAACTTTGTTCACTTTCATCATGAACTCTATCATGTAGTGTTACTTTGCGGAGCCTCACGATGCAGCTAATGTGGTGTTGGCTAGGGAGGAGCCAGTTGGTCTTGATTATGCGGGCGATATGAACTTAATGTTTAACGATATCCAGGCGTTGCAGTCAACCCTGAATAATCGCTCTTGAGTGGGCACATCATTTTGCATGTGCTTTACAGCTTCGAAGTGCCAAGTGTTGGTGCAAGACAACCAATCACTTGATGATCTCTTCATCCTTAATGATGAGCAACTCGAGGTACTTGATTACTTCACGTACCTTGGCAACTGTATCGGCAGCGATGAAGGCATAAGCGCATTGTAACACTAGAATTGTATTCCTGAATCTGCTATATCTGTAGCGTCAGAAAGGGATTTCTCTCCGTCTAAAAGGCGGTGCATACAAGGCCACAGTGAGGGCCGTCCTACACTACCGGAGCGAACCTTCACCCCTTCGATCTGAAGACCGGAGGCGTGTTCAGGTCTCTGATCATCGCTGTCTGGGAAGCACTGCTGGTGTCGGGTGGCACCAGCATGTGCGCAACGATAATGTGCTTAGGTGAGTTCTAGGCAGTGATAATCATGTTAATACCTTAGAAAAACGGCTAGCAAGGAATAAGTTGCGTTGGCTTGAGTGCGTACCGTTTATGCCTTGTCACCGCTTACCGATGAGTACATTGTTTTTTTTTGCCAGATGTCGGGTGGCGCAAGGCCCGAGGTGGGCAAAAGTTAACTTACTAGCTTGAAATGAAGTCACTGACGACCTAACTGAGTGCCCTCGGTCTGTCTCACCTTCCAGGTTGGACTCCACGTGACTCGCTTTTTGCTTGGCTCAAAACTTTACTCGACATAGCTCACATATAGCACCAGTAGCGCGTCTGTTGCCGTCTGCTGGTCAAGTTGCCTGTTTGAAGTGTGTTTGGTGCTGTGTTATCTGCGGGGTACTGGCTGATTATGAAACGTGGCAGTGAAAGCCGCAAGGAGGCTGTCTTGCCGAATCTGCCTTATCTTTGTAAGATAGCCAGCTGTTTGTTATGGTTTGTTGTTGGAAGGTTTAGACGACTTGACCCCAAATGTTCGTTTATGGTGTTGGGATTTTACGCCAGATCCCCCTTCTTTCGCACTTATTATCCTTCTCTCCGTAGATCACCATGTTTGTATAACAGCGAAGCATCACTTCAAGTGCCTGATGTACTACTGTTGATGATACTGTTGATCTATGTATTCGGGGACTTTTCATATGTTAGTGTCAATAACCATGGCCAAATTACCACATTAAAAGGAGCTAACTTGCCTGAGCTTAGGTGGCTTCTAAGTTTGACCATTCTGTGACCATTGAGATACAATTCTGCGCAACCTTAATTCCAGTAAGCGTATGTCATATTAACCGAAACTTTGTACACTTATCGACACGTTAAATTTTCATGGGTTTAAATCAGGACATATGTTGTTATCAATCAGTGCACGTTTAACGGTTTATGTAACCCATAGGTACTGGTGAAACACTGTAGACAGATCCAAATGAGCTGAGGGTATGGCAAAGTAAAGCTGTTGGTCGGGTGGCATATCACACTGATTTAATGTCTTCGCCCCCATTTGGATTCGGTTTTAAATGTGCTGTAACGATTAGTAGGCATGAAAATAGGTCATCAATTCAGCATGCCTTGTAAGATGTACAATAAAACTCAAGCATAAAAGATGGCACTGATACAAATGACCCAATTAAGTGTTAAAATTCATTTTATGGTGATTCTAGGAAGAGCCGAATAACTATACTAATAAGGTCCGCTTCAATCTACATACTTAGCCAGATGAATTTCGGAAACTAGCTATTACTGAACCTATTAGTGAAACCAGCTATTACTGACGTCTCATGTGGACCGAAGGAAATACGCTCACATAAACCTTTATTCAAATGACTGTTAGGACAGTATACTTTCTTTGGTAATGGCAGCCGATTCAACGAGCAGTTGGTCACTGTTGCGCGAATTATAGCTCTCTTCGATTTCCAACCTATTCAGCTTGGATTGAGAAGTAAAGCTTTTTCAAAATGCTTAGGAATTTTGTATTCAAGCGATATGACGTAGCTGATTAGGAAACGCTTCCTCTGCATCCACTGTCCATCCAATATTGGCAAAAAGAAAACTTCGATGGGGGACTCGTCGCAGGTTAGAGTAGGAGACCAACAATACAATGAAGCCCTCACAGAATTCTATATAATCGTGGTATTCAGTTGTAGTGCCCACTGGAAAGTATTCACAAACAGTCTTGTCAGGTATACCAGATGGTGGGACCACTGATAAATTTGCAATAAATAGCGTCAAAACGGTGTTCCCGTGAGAAATGCGATGAGGATTAAAATGCTCCGCCAGCAACAGTGTGCTGTGGCCCAAAGCGGCTCATTCGATTATAAATGCTAACTTGTCAGAGTAAAGGTTAAATAGATCGGAATGTGGCAGTAACCTCGGTGCTTGCTCGAAAGCGACGAATTAGCTACTTCAGTGTAAATTGTGAGGATCACGAAACCAAAGTGTGCCTGAACATCCAAACGAAATGTAACAAAGGTGACTGATGTTCTCGCGACGCTATCTAGGCGACCTGAGTTGAAAAAGAGGTCTGCTGATTGAAGCAATTCCCAACGACATCTAGGAAGAGACTTCAAGGCGTGGGAATCCAACGAAGAAATTTCGGACCCACTTAACTACTGATTTTCTCCAAAGTGCTCTCTGCATATTTACGTAGCAGTAGCAAAACTAGGATCACCCCGTGCTAGATATTCTGCAATGTCCGGTGATTAAAAGTGCCAAAAATATGTTACGGTTGTCCTATGAGAAGCGACTGAGAATACCAGGCATTTTCAGTGGATGGTATCGGTTTCCTTTTGATGACTTTAGCACGGCGTACCAGCATTTAAGGAACCCGGACCACGTGTCATCAACTGTTTGGTCCCACTCGTCCGATGGCATCCGCTTCCGGATTTGTCTGGCACTGCACCAATCCTGGGGACAGCTACAGGCCGCCTTCGCCTACAGAGGGACCATGGTTGCCTTGCACTACACTACCCACAGCTCCATCTACACCCCATACCCGAAGGAATAACACCTGGAGGCATGTGAATATGTGCTACAATTCATCCAAAGAGCAGGCCCACACATCTTCAGCACGCATTCCTGTTTATCCTGCGTACCTCACGTGCACAAGGCTGTGGCTAGGTCTTAGTCTGCTCTACGCTGGATACTTGGACTAACTCTTTGATCCTAGCACGGCCCTCAGGATCGTGCACCCTGTCACCACAGTAGTGTTTCACAGTCTTCTGGAGTCAGTACTCAAGGTGGAGTGTGTTAAAAAGGTAGGCACCTTTCAACCTTCACAGTAGGCGCAGCTACATCAGGGATATGAATCAAGCAAAACAGAAGTTAAAGTAAAACGAACAGGCAAGTTGGAAAGGAATATGCAACGGGGTAACATAACAAAGGAAATCAAATTAAGTGGAATACTTTTTATCCAGGTTAATGAGATCCAGTTTAAGTGTGCTTATAATTCGTTGTGGCCCAATCGCGGCGAAGAAGCAT